TAAGAATTTTTATAATTAACATATTGAATTTTTCAGGAGTTACCATGCGGATTTTTTTCTCATATTATCGAAGAAATTGCTAGAAAAACACACACACAGACTCGGTCGGTAACGTATGTTTGATTCTCGTTCCCCGTCGGTAACGTTCCTTTTGAATTGACCTTTCGTTGACATTCCATCCAGTAACCTTATATCGGAACCTCTGTTTCATAGGTCAGTGAAATGTCGTGGCCCCAAAAAACCGACAAATGGTCCCCCTGGAGGATGAAAGAAATAAAAGAGCCACGACCGTACCGGTGGCCTTAAAGGCAAGCGTGTTTCGGAGCAACTCTCGCTCATAATATGTGTAACTCGTGTATACACATATTATGATATATCATATTCCGGTTGTGGCCGTAGGATCCCGAAGACCGGTTCTTAATAATTAACATATGCAACGTTAATTTTACGGAATTATAATTTCACGTCACTCGTCGTCGGTGAACCGACGTGTACGCGTAAGAACGTGGTGCAACGAGGACGGAGGAGGGTCAGGATGCGTGCATGCCTGTCTCTCGGCTACCCGTCTTCTTCTCAGGGAGTGTCTTTTTGCTGTTTCGAGGCACGAGCGAAATTGGTAAATAGACTCGTCAGAATTTTTCCTATTCGCGTGCCGTGGACGGAATCCAAGATCCTCGACAGCCTCCGCACGATCGAAATGTCGCTTGGATTCCGTTTAAATTTGAGAAATGTTCGCGTGCGGGTGAGCAACAAAAATTGCTCCAAGGAAGAAGTTAGTACGGGAGTAACTGCGGGCGGTTTACCTACATGAAGATGGTTGAACGTGTCTTGTTAACTGCACGCACGACTGGGCAATACTCTCTCGCGTACACGTGAAACCTAATACACCGAAAACGAGTCCAACGGATCGGAGAGTGAAACGCGAAGACGATGGACCCGGGAGGAAACACCGAAAACGAAGAAAGAACGCTTTGAAGAGGTTCAGAGGGAGGGTGGACGTAGAGATCTAGGCTCAGGGAGGCTCTGTGCTTCAATTAAAAGTTATTGAAGGTTTAATTAACGTATAATAATTATTTGAAGCACCTGGGGAGTGCGATCGAAGCGTAGATTTCGAAGTTAAGAGGCTCGATAGGGGAATGTAGGTTAACGAAGCGGGGGAGCGCGTTTGAGACGTAGGGTCGAGCGACACCTGGTCCATTCGTGTCCTCCTCCAGGTGAGAAAGTCGGTTCCTCGTTATTCGTCGCACGTAGCACTCTCGCATCCTCCCACGCTTCTATTAATAACACCTCAGAGACGCGTAGTATTTATAGGCATGTCACATTACTATGCCGTGGCTGAAAAAGCCGCATGTAAAAGAGTTCCGTCTTCCCATTGGGCAATTAAAATTTCGTCGATGTACAGTTATCGCTTAAGATTCTAAACGGTGTGTCGAAACCACGGATATCTCTTCCTGTTAATTATCCGAACGATTGATCTTTGGCCGTAGAAACGATCCCCCGTTGTCGGTTTATTAATATCGAGCGCGATCGAATTAAGATCCCCAGCAATGGCTGGCTCGGTCATGCACAGATCATCCGATCAGATTCGACAACGAACTCTTATATTTCCTCGACATGCAGCTCGTGGCTGATTAGCACGGTAAAAAGCCCGGGATCGATCGATAATGATCGACCAGAACGCGAAAGTTCACGATCCCATTGTGTCCTGTTGCGTTTGTTAGTGCCATCCTCGTGAACAGGCTAGAAATATTGGCCACGCCATCTTGCTGTGCTCGCACGGTCGTTCGACGATGGCGAGGAAAAAGGGAAAAATTGAGGGGGAGAGGTAGGAGTGCGTGGTTAATGCACGCATAAACAGGAATGTTTCGCAGCTTCTCACGGGATGCATGCATTTATACGCCTCGGTATCGAAGTGCTCCGGTATCATTAGAGGAGCCATTCGAGACTCACGCCCCCATTGTCCGAGGGCAACTTTCTTCCTCCTCTCCCTCGTTTAACGCCGAAGATCCTCACAGCCTGCCCGAGAGACAATGCCGTACGTGTATCGTGCATCATATTTCACAGTCGTTCCTTTTTTGCGTTACGGGCGCGTACGTATCGGTATCAGGGGGGACGGGGGGTCCCGAGTCCCCCTCCTGGCGACGAAAATCCCCGTAACCGGGGGACCACCGTGGTTAAAATCATTTTGCCCGGCCTCCTGCGACGCCGACTCCCGACGAATTATTCTCATCCGCTTTTCGACCGCAGAAACGCCACGGCACCGGAACGAATCCCATGAAGAATCTCAGAGTTACTCCTTGGCAAGCGGACTCTGCCATTCCTGAAGCGATTCGCAACCCCTCGACTTAATTCTTCTCGCGATCCCTCGCTAATTCGGTGGAAAAAGCCCTACATTGCGATTAAAATCATCTGAGAGGTATAAATTTGGGAATATACTAATGTTATTTCTGTTGTTTATTTGTTTTCTGAGTTGTAGATAATTTGGGCGGACTTAAATAATATTGGGGGACTGTGTAATCACCGCCATCTTCGTTTTGATAATTGATTTTTATTGGAGAAAGCACAGAATTGTGATTAAAATTATCACAGAGTTATAAATTAGACAATATAGCAATTGTATTTCTATTATTACTGTGATTTATTTGTCATTTTGAGTTGTAGACAACATGGATGGACTAAAATAATATTGAGGGGCTCTAAAATCGCCGCCATCTTTGTTTTGATCATTCATTTCCACTGAAGAAAGCTCAGAATCATTTCCTAGTTATAAATTAGAGAGTAAAGAAATTATATATCTGTTTTTCTTGTGATTTATTGTTTATATTTGAATTGTAGATAACACGGATGAATCCCGCGAACAATATCGAGGATAATCGCCGCCATCTTTGTCCCGCGGGAGCCATTATCGGACCGTTGCACCGTCCGCCATTGATACTGTCGCAAAATTCCTGAAATATCCCGGGGCGCACGGAGCGAATCTCTTCCGGCGAGGAACACAACGAACCCGCCAGCGTTTCGCACGCTGTTACTCGATCGAGATAGAGTTTTTTGCGGGTGTATCGACTTCGCGGCGAGATATCTCGCGGCGAGGGTCGTATCTTCGACCCGTTATGACTTCGCTATCACGGTCGGTGCGTCACACGTCGTCGATAAACAATGTCGGTCTTGTCTTGAATGGCGTAGGAATGTTAAAAACTGATCAATAAGAAACACTCGTGTATGACGATGCGTTTATCGGTTAGAGGCGCAATAGACTACGCTCATGCTTGTCCAGAGCTTGAATGACAGCGTCTATAATCGACATTTTTATCATAGTATATCTCCTTAAGGTTTTCACGAATTAGAAACTTCTGAAAGGACGAATTGTTTTGATTTGTAGTCTAGAATACTCTTTGAAGTAGCGTCGTTCAAAAGGTAACGGGCATCGAAACGTGGCGAAACGACACGAGTAACTGGAATCCGAACGGTCTGAGCGCCGCAAAGAATGGAGGAACACGTGTTCGCCGTTGCAACTGGGCGCACGATTGCTCCGTGGCGACTGACCAGTGCAGCTGCAGCAAGTGCAATGGTTGCATGCACGTCCCTTTCTTAGGTGCTGGGCATACCGAGCCACGCGTTCCAATTCATAATAATCGTGTCTAATAAACTACGGTACCATTTGCAAGCGACGTAATTGATTATCGTCCAACAGGAAGCTCACAGAAGCTGAACAGTAATCTTCTTGGTTCTTCTTCAATTTTTTTTTTGGGGAACTCTCAACGTTAGAAATTGCTCGAGCAATAATTTTTTTGTGTACATATCGTTCTTCCATTCGTTTGTAACGTTTGCTCGTGTTCCTCGTGTGCATTTCATGTATCCAAATGCCCAACTGCTGGCGCGTTACAGTTTGTTTCGCTCTCCGTTTCCCCTTTTTTCTCCGCTCAGGGGCGTAATGATTAATTAAGCTTTCCGAGAAAACGCAACAAGCGAAACGTTATTAGCGCTTAGTGGCACAGTTTACTCGAATCAGCGTCACAGCCTCCCTCCCCTGCTCCCCCCCGTATGCATCTTCCTCTCCCTCATCCGCTTCCCCTTTCCAGATCCGAGATCTATGGTGGAGTTTTAATAATCGCCGTGACGGAATGGTCTGGCGCCTATTCGTTGCACACGCTGCTGCAACCTGGGGATGCACGCGATTCCGTGCCGTGAAAATCGAGGACTACTGAAATCTATGACCTCCAGACTGCACGATCGAGAACGCTTGCTCCCCGTATCCTGTAAATTAACTTCAAAAGAGGGTCGCTGACCAGAGTATCCCAGAACTTTAATCACCGGAGTGGATTTATTCGCTTCTGTGGCGGATAAACGCGATTTAAAAACTAGTTATTGCGAACGAGGATGCACAGAGTGGAATCGTTTAGTCTCGAGTCGGTATTATATAGTAGAGTTCCGATTACCGGCCGCGCAATTATCTGGAATGATCGTATAATCGGCATTTTTAAGGAAAATCGACATGGGGTGGGCAAATTCTCTGTTGAAATTAAAAAATTTCAAATCAGTCTAAAAAAATTATTTTTAGCTGGGGGGGTTAATTACAATCATTTTTGGTTATTACACATACTCCCGAAATCCTTCGCATTTTAGAGAAAAAAATTCGAGAAGGGGGGAATTTTTCGACAAAATTAAAAAATTTCGAATCATTCTAAAAAAAATATTTCCAGTTGTAGTAGTCGATTACAAACATCTTTGGTGAATAGACGTACCCCTTAAATCCTGCGCGCTTTCGAGAAAAAAAATTCTTAATATCGGAATTTTAATGGAGAGTGTCGTATTCTTGAAATGTCTACCACCAAGGAGACCCGGGTCGAAAGATAGATAGTTGCAGAGATAAAGTGATAATTGGCTCGGTTGAACGGTCGCCGAATGCTCGGTGAAAAACGCTCGCAGATGGACAATGACGATAACAAATTGCATTCCATTACGTCGGATTAATTAAGGCATCTCTGCAATCTTTGTTTCAGATCGATTCTAGCTCTGACAATGCTCACCGCGGCCAGCGTCTCCTGTACCCACGTGCCCGACAAGTATCCCATCGAGGTGAGTCTCAGTCCCAGGTAACATCGATATCAATGTGTATTCGAGCTTCAGATCGATTCTCTTTCTCGACTATCGAACCGTCAAGTATCGCTTCGATCGATCGTTACGCGATCTATCTAACAGAAATATGTTGTTCGAACGGGGTATCCCCGTTTCAACCGATATAATACCGGTATCGCAACGATCTCTCCCATTACGATACTTTATCCTCGACGCGCGGTCGTCCGGTGCATATTAATTTAATCCACTTACAGGAATTAATAAGCAATTACGAAGACGTTATTCTTGGGTGGCACGAGAAGAATAATTAATCGACACTGGAAGAAGTTCCTAAATTACAACCGGAGCTGGCTGCGGTTCTCAAGGCCAGGCGAACGAGGAACGCAAAATGCAAACACATTTATGTGTCGTGCAACGCCGCCTTGGTACCGCGTTTCTATTACGCTTAAACGAACCGTTTACTTTACGAAATATTGCGATACCGCCGTCGACCTCGCGTGATCGTTTCGAGAAAACGCGTTCCTTGTTAACCGTTCGTTTCGCGCGCGCGTAATTGTCACCGAAGGATTTCTCAATCTTCCAGAATTACATTTTCTGGAAACTGTCCATCGTGAAATTGTCAAGTGATAGAAGACTAGAGTCGCTAAACTATTTTCCAGGTGTATCACATGCTGCGGGAGAAGACTCAGTTCGGTCTGGGACGCGACAATCGAATCAGAGGCACCTGGGGCGCCTGGAGTCCCTGGAGCGGGTGTTCGAGGACCTGTGGCACCGGCATCCAGTCTCAATCTCGCGAGTGTGTGCCATATCAGTAAGCAAACCCTCTTTTTCAAAGTTTTTTTGCACGATAAAACACTTTCTTATACAAAAATCGATAGGAAACTCGATTGCAACTAACCCAGACCTAACCCAGACTTAACAGTATCGATAGTAATCGATTATCGCAGCTCGCCGCGTAACATACTATCGATTACCAGCGAGTAATCGATTATCGTACCGTCGATTCCCGCCAATAATCGCACGTCTCGCGGTACCGTTAACGTTTCGCGCGATCAAAGGTCGCGAGCAACCGTTTCGCGGTTTCGAACGGTCCCAAGCAACACCTACACGCGAACAGACAGAATTTCGTGGAGAAATTCCACCCGTGGATCGATCTTCGGAAGCGTGTCAGTTTACGAGCGGAGGAACAGTTAAGTATCGAGCAAATTGCTGATCGGTAGCCGAGGGAAGATTGCACGCTAGTCAGCGACCTCGAAACGTGTTATCGTTGCTGACATTTGCACGTAACGCTACCTGGGCAAGGATTTACCGTTCAAAATCTCTCTATCGAATTTAATAAACGGATATCTTTGCTCGTAGATCCCTAGTAGCGATGGTCGTCGCTGTTTCCGCCGCGAGAATGGTCGACTGAAACGAACGATTTGTTTCAGGAGACTCTTAAGGAAGAGGAGCATTATCTTGGGGAACGGCACGAGCAACTCGCGACCCATTTGCATCGGCACGTACAAGAGATACCACACGTGCAACACGCAGGTAAATCAACGCGACATGTGCAGCGCCAACGTTTACATCGTTGAGTACTGTCTGCGATAGATTAACGTTTGCACTTTGTTAATGGCGCCCACGGTGAGCCTGTCGAACGACACTCCAAAAGAGTTAATTATTACATTCGACGATAAACTGGACCACCTTTCGATCCTCTAAAAATATTCCAAACTTTTATCGTTAATCGATCTTCGAAAAGTAATCTGTTACTTGTCCGACAGAGGTGTCCAAACTTCCCAGAAGATTTGCGGGCGGAACAATGCGCCAAATACAACGGACGAAATTACAAGGGCGAGAGTTACGATTGGGTTCCCTTTTTAGATGGTAAGTTGGGGGGCTTTTAGAGTTTATTAAGTCCCGTTTTGTAATCGTAATTTATTTTGGTCAGCTCCGAACTCTTGTGCACTTAATTGCCGCGCTATTGGTGAGCGTTTTTATGCAACGCTTGAACCGGCAGTAATGGACGGCACACCCTGCGACGCTCCAAATGTTCGTGGACATTCTGGAATCTCTATGGAACGCACAGATCGGTGGCTATGTGTCACTGGACAGTGCAAGGTAATTAATTAATTACGAGATTCTTAGTCCAAGTTCTTAAGGAGAGGGTGTTAACCCCTCCTCCATTTTGTTGAAACTTTGCACACACTTTGTAGATTTGTAGATATTCGATAATTTTAGAAATATTAATTGCTTTCATTATTATCCACAAATCTCAGTTGCAATTACCACCATGATATCAATACCAAATTTTTATAAACATTATAAATTTTATTGCTAACAAAGGTACTTAATTACAATGTTAATTAGCATTTTTATGTGTGATTTTCATTATTTAAATTTATCCATATCCCGAGAAAAAACTTTCGTAGTCATGGAGAATCGCACTCGGACCAACTGGGTGGGAGTTCCTTACTCTACCATCACGCCCAATGGTGGTAATTAATACATAATAGATTGACACTGTATGTGATGGATTAATAACGAAACTTTGATCATTAATATTTAAAAAATTATTGTTATCTTATAACTAAATTTACAAGTGTGCAAAGTTTGAACCCTCTGCACTCCTACGTCGAATGACATCTTTTCAAGCCCAAACCAAAGAGATAATAATTTTCACTGGATATATGAAAATTAAATATAATTAATTTTTTCTTATTATTCTATAACAATAACTTTTCTATAATAATAACTTTTTTCTATACCATAAGACTATTTCATAAGAATTTTATTGTATTCAATTTTTAAATTTAGTTATTGAAATATTTATAAATAAGAAATTAAATTATATTTATTATTTAATACACTTGAAAATTACAAAATACGATAATTTTTAATTAACGTAAATTTCAAATAAAACACTTAAAAGCATTGGGGAGCAGCTGGTAACAAGATTGAAATATAATTTGGAGTGCAAAGGGTTAACAAAATGGGTGACCAGGTATTGCCCGCTCCTCATCAGTTATTTCTATTGACTCTCAGTACAAAAACATTACATAACGGTAATTTGCACGTAATTTTCTGTTGCAGACAGTAGGTTGCGACGGTGTGGTAGGTTCAGGCGTGACGACGGATGCTTGTGGTGTCTGCGGTGGTCAGGGTAAAGGTTGTCGACTGTACGAGGGGATTTTTATGGAACCAATCCTGCCCAGAGGTCATCAACCCGTGACCACGATACCGAAGGGAGCTGTGTCTCTCAACATCTCCGAACTTCGTTTCAGCAGCAACTTCTTGGGTACTTCATCTTGTATAGAAAACTAAGTGTACAGAGGAGAGAACGTTTCTTAATAATCTGATCCGTTTAGCATTGAGGGACAGCAACGGTAGTTACATCTTGAATGGACCGTTGGCATATAGTTCAAGCGGCACTTATAAAGCGGCTGGCACGACATTAACATACCAGAGGGGTGACAGAAGCCGCGTGGAGTGCATCTTGGCAACCGGGCCACTGAACGATTCTTTGCATTTAGAGGTACAACCATAAAGACGCCTCTGATATCTGACCCCTCGCGGAATTTATTTCACCCACGGTTTCTTTCTTTCTTTTTTTGCCCCCCGTTCCCTATTGTGTGTTGTATTCTTAAATCGTTCCCCCCTCTCAGATACTGGCGCAGGAAATGAATCCCGGAGTGCTTTACAAGTACATGTTGCCGCTGAAGGGACCATCCAACGGGAAGGCGATGATAGCACCGCCGCTTTTCGCGACAGGTAACCGTTTTTAGCCACGAGGCGTTTAATCGACTGCATTTTTCAAGGTGACGTCCTTACGCGACCCACTTTATGAACCACTGGTGACTCACGCAAAGAGCAAAAGCGATCCGTTACCGTCCCTTTGTTGCAGGATCCACGGATCGTGGCAACGAAATCCCCGATTCGGACGTTCGCGTCGCTCTGACCAGAATGTAAATATTACTAGAGGCTATTGTTCAAGCTCCATGATTCGAAAAGCGTTTAGAATTTGCTATCGTGCAGCATCGTCGCTTTTTCAGGCCCGACCGGAAGGCTGATCTGTCGCCCAGGAGTCGCGACAGAGCACCGAAGGCAGAGATGAAGCATCCGCCTACCACCGTGATGGCCGGCGATCAACCAAAGTCGAAGGCCAAAAGGAAGAAGCGAATGAAATTCGGGTGGATGGTCTTCGGATTGACTCCTTGCTCCAAAGATTGTGGAGGAGGTGAATTATCAATTAGGAAAAAAAATAGGCGTGGGAAGTCCCCTACCGATTCACGAAATTTATTAGCAGGAAGCCACACATCCGTGATCCTCCCACGTTATTATTTTCCACGCGTGGTTGCCCGAGCCTTTCACGAAAAAATCTGCTTCTTTTCATTTATGTTTGGACAGAAATAACAGGGTCAGATGTCTGGGTTCACGCTTCCCAAAACTCTTTGTTCGTTTCAATGAATACTATCTACATATCTATATATACAGAGTGCATAGGGTCAAAAGAATAATATTTCAGACAATTTTAAAGCAGAGGTAGTCAGATTCCTAGAGACTATGTATCTTTAATTATAAGTAGACTGTGGATCTTCTTGCAAATTTTATTAATTGAATTAATGAAATGGGAGCTTTCTAAAAGCTTGTCTCAACCCCTAAATTCCCTAGTCTAGTTACAAGCACTACAGTAACTTTGTAGTCTCCTTTTACCTACTCAATGTACCCCACACCAGCCTAAGTTTGTATCTTTTTTGTTTCTACACTTCTTTCTAAAAGGTGTTTACCCATCAATTAAATTCAACCACTTTCAGGGGTTCGAACAGCGATTTTCAAGTGTGTTCGCGAGACCAACCAGATGATAGTGAACGAGAAGCGTTGTCGGAACGTGGAGAAGCCTCAGCAGCCGCCTCCATTGCGTTGCAACGACCGTCCCTGTCTAGCCAAGTAAATTATTCTGTCTGTAATTGGAACGTTAACCATTACCACGTACAAATTAAAGAGTATCACGATTTGGGTTGCAGATGGAGGGCAGAGCCGTGGAGCGAGTGTTCAGTCAGCTGCGGGACCGGTACCAGGACACGAAAATTGGAGTGCGTACAGGAATTAAACGCGAATTTAACGATGCAAGTGGCGGCCGGTGCGTGCATCCGACCGACGGACCTGTTAACCGTGGAGACCTGCACGAAACCGGCTTGCAGCCCGGAATTAAGGCACATGCACTCGCCGCACGACACACCCAGATGGGACGTCGGCCCTTGGGGCCCCGTAAGTGGGGCCTTTTTTATCAATACAAACAATTGAAGACTCCCTTCGACGCTTCTAAGCATCTCCACTCGTTTCACACGTGTTCCTTTGTATCAATTCTGAATCTTCACGCGTTTGGAACGTTCAGCAATCGTTCTTGTGATTTCAGTGCTCTGCAACGTGTGGAAGAGGAGTGAGGAATCGAACAGTCACGTGCATCACACCTGGTAAATCCTGCCCTCTGTTCAACAAGCCAGAGTCTGAAAAGGTTTGCGACTCTGTGTCTTGTGTAAGCAACAGCGCTGACCAACGAGCACCTTGGCTGTACTCCAATTGGTCGTCCAAGGTAAAATTATTCTTTGCTACAAGAAGTAGTCAATGTTCTTGCTTCTTGGACCTTTCTTATCTTTTGTTTTAGTGCTCAGTCGAGTGTGGCAAGGGGGTCGAGACTAGGCAAGTAGCCTGTGCAGATGGCAGTGAACTGTTTTGCAATCCCACAGAGAGACCGGAAACGGAAAGGCAGTGCTATGGGAAAGGGACCAAGTGCGATAAAGCCAAGTGGTTCATTGGCCCATGGACATCAGTTAGTAACAAATACTCAAAACACACACTTGTTCTCATTAACAGGGGTATTTTAGTACAGACTTTAAAGTGAACCAAAGAAACAAGACTATGAACCACATTTGCTCAACCCCCTAGACCAGAATATCTTATTATATCTAATGTTATAATTTCAGTGTTCTGTGTCTTGCGGAGTGGGCGTCCAGAATCGAGAGGTTCTCTGCGTAGCAAGGACGAACAGTAAATTTGTCGTGTTACCAGCGCACGATTGCAACGATTCGAGGCCAGCAACCGAGCAACCATGCAGCGTGTCCGTGTGCAGACCGGAATGGTTCACTTCGAGCTGGTCGAAGGCAAATTACACGCAGAAATTCACTGTGATGCAAGGGACCCTGACTTTGTGATCGTATAAATATCTATTTTTAGTGCTCGACGACGTGTGGCACCGGTGTGCAAACGAGACTGGTCCGTTGCATTCTCGAGGGCGTCGAGGACTCGAATTGCCTGGAGGACGCAAGACCGACCGAGAGGCTGCAATGTAGTTCAAAATCGTGCGAGAATGAGATCTCGACGCCGAGCAAACCACCGAAAAGTAAGCTAAATTGTTGAATCTAATCGATTCATTTTTTGCAACGTCTTGACAAGATATTTTACCCAATTTCAGAAGCCTACGAGACGTCAGAGTGTGTCGACAAACACCCAAACTGTGCGTTGGTTGTGAAGAATGGCCTGTGTCGGATAAAGTACTACAAGTACTCGTGCTGCAAGTGCCGCGAGTAATTGTCATTAACACAGTAGCTCTGCCTTAGATAATGTAACTGGATCGTTCGATGGAACGAATGAATCGTGTCTGCTATCCGAAAACTGTTGCAAACAGACCGTATTATGTAGAAGATTATTTAACGCAATGTCCTATCTAATCACGCGTAGAATTATTTCTGTGGTCGTTCTGCCTCCGCGAGATAGGCTACGGAACAATTATTTAATTCATTTCGAACGTTAACCCCCGGGAAACGGAATAGTAAACGAAAGCATACTAGTCGTTTGTAGTAGACGAAATAATGTCGGTCCGTTGTTACGCCCCTAAGTACGCTGCAACCCATTTGCATGCACGCTACCGTGTACCGTTTACATGTGTAAGTAACGCCACATCGAGCTGGCGATCTAGCGATCAAATTAATCTTATATTTATATCGCTGATTAATTACAGCAGTACTTCGTTTCTTCGAATGAAATTTCACCCATTGCCAAGTTCACTGTACTTACTGAGCTTTTTATATTGAAATTATTGAAAATTTAGTTCTCAGAAGTAAGTCGTGATTAATATTAGTCGATTAATGGAATTAATCCATGAATTTCCATGGCTAATAATAACGTTGATTAGAAACAAAAATTCTATACACTGTAATATTGTTTGTATAATGAAATCTGTAATTATAACGTAAGTTTTAAACAAACGAAAGAAACTTGATGTAAGCACTACCGCTAGAGAAATAATTTCTAACTATTTTTATGATCGTGTCACATACCACCACGGAGATAAATAAAAATCAGAACATCTAAAACCAAACAAAATTTGAGAAACACTACTTGTTACTGTATTCATTCAGAATGAAATTAAACTATAAGGATCAAAACTAAATGTGAAAATAAACTATATTTATACTAAACTATACGAGGAAGATGGACCATTGTGTTTTTCAAATGTATATTAAATTCTTTGATACCCCTCCATTCCAGCCTTTTCTTCCTGTAACAAAAACTTGTTTAATTGATTAGTATATGGAAAATATATAAAATAAATTTTGGGATTTGAAAAGTGATCCTATTTAAAAGGATTTTGTATACATATACCGTTTGTTTGGGTTTCACTTTCAATTCTTGGAATTGCCGCGACTTTGAAGTCGCTCATCGCGTCCACGGTTTAGGGGAACCCCCCTTGAAACGCTCTTCCAGCTCAAGTTACCTCAGACGCGTTCCGATAACAATTCTTATAATAGAATTGTTGGGTATCTGCGTATTTCACGGAGTGCTCGAGCTTGGTATTAAATTTCAGGCTTTGGCAGGACCGTCGAAAAAAGAAAAGATTCAAGGAGTCAAAGGGGCCCTGACAAACTGTCTCAAGAACGGGCTGCAACAAATTGCTTTTCATCTTTATTTTCGAATAAGGATGGAAAGTCATCTCTGTTAACTATATCATTGTATTCGCCTGTAGCTATAGCATTTTATAGTTTTTCAGATGCTAATTGCACCACCAAATGATCGCGTTTGATTTCAAAGTAGTATCGCAAATAATTTAAACTTATCGTGATCAATTTTAGCGTTGCAAATGGAATATTTATAACGTAAATAATAATGACGATATGTTACAACGATATTGTCTAGTCCCGCCAATTTTTATATTATAACGTTATTGTCTCATTAGCAGCGACACTGGGTGGTGGGCGGGAGAAGTTCCAATGTCTCGAATATTCGTTGCTTTTTCGAATTAAATCTTTTAATTAAAATTTAACTATCAAATTATTTATTATCGCTATATTTTTCCCATGTTGGGAATATTTTTAAGCTTCGAAAACGAGATTTAATCTTTCTTTCCGAGCTCCGCGAGACAACGGAGCTCCCCCTCGTCACCCCCGATTCGCTCGACGCAGCGGAGAATCGCCATTCGTACGTTACAAGTTGGCGTGGTAAGATGTGTCCGAGCGTGTGTCTCTAACCGGCTGATATATAATTACTACACGCGTTTGCTTTCTAACGGTAATTTCGTTAACAATTAATACATTTCTATTATAAATTGAGTCGAAATTGTGAGAAAACTGAGTCGTATTTCGCATAATTTCCTCGATATCCAACCGGCTTCTTTATATCTTTCTAAACCAAATTACGTATCTTATACATGTTATTTCGAGATCAATTATTCTTTAATTGTCTTTTCTGCAATGCATTTGCCTTTAATTTGTACTTTATTTCTGTTACAGTCTCTGAAATTCGAAATCAAGAAATTTCTATTCAAAATGGAAGCTTCGCGAATCATCGAAGGCGCCCCCACCCTCCCTCCTAATTCGCAAACGATGCTGGATGCAACGGGGGGACGTCATTACTATTCTAAAAAGTGGCGGGGTGAGACGTGTCCAGCGTCTAACGGCTAACGAGGTACATATTTCGAACTTTTTGATCTTTCCTCACTTATTATTACTCGCGTTTACTCTTTAACAGTGCTTTTGTTTAATTGTGTTGTGTATTAATACATTTTAACTATAAATTCAATCGGAATTGTGCGAAAAAGTGAATCGGTATTTCGATCGTTTTCTTACGATATTCAACCGGTGTCGATTCTTTCTAAACGAAATTACGTATCTTTTGCATATTATTTCGAGATCAATTATTCTTTAATTATGTTTCCTGCAATGCATTTGCTTTAATTTGTATTTTTGTGATAAAGTCGACGAAATTCGAAGTCGAGAAATTTCTATTCAAAATGGAAGCTTCGGGAATCATCGGAGGCGCCCCCACCCACCCCCCCCCAATTCGCAAGTGATGCTGGATGCAACGGGGGGACGCCATTACTATTTTAAAAAGTGGCGGGGTGAGACGTGTCGGAGCGTGTTCAGACCTGTCCATCGTCTAACGGCTAACGAGGTACATATTTCGAACTTTTTGATCTTTCCTCACTTATTATTACTCGCGTTTACTCTTTAACAGTGCTTTTGTTTAATTGTGTTGTGTATTAATACATTTTAACTATAAATTCAATCGGAATTGTGCGAAAAAGTGAATCGGTATTTCGATCGTTTTCTTACGATATTCAACCGGTGTCGATTCTTTCTAAACGAAATTACGTATCTTTTGCATATTATTTCGAGATCAATTATTCTTTAATTATGTTTCCTGCAATGCATTTGCTTTAATTTGTATTTTTGTGATAAAGTCGACGAAATTCGAAGTCGAGAAATTTCTATTCAAAATGGAAGCTTCGGGAATCATCGGAGGCGCCCCCACCCACCCCCCCAATTCGCAAGTGATGCTGGATGCAACGCGGGGACGCCATTACTATTTTAAAAAGTGGCGGGGTGAGACGTGTCGGAGCGTGTTCAGACCTGTCCATCGTCTAACGGCTAACGAGGTACATATTTCGAACTTTTTGATATTTCCTCACTTATTATTACTCGCGTTTACTCTTTAACAGTGCTTTTGTTTAATTGTGTTGTGTATTAATTCATTTTAACTATAAATTCAATCGAAATTGTGCGGAAAAGTGAATCGTGTTTCGATCGTTTTCTTCGACTGTCGTCGGTTTATTATATCTCTTTAAAGGAGATTACGCATCTCGTATTTATTATTTCAAGTTCAGTTATTGCTTAATTGTGATTAGATGTGTTTACTGTGATATATTTGACTTTAATTTATATTTTATTTCGGATTGAAATTCGAAGTCGGTGGACTCCATTTTGAATTAGAAGCTTCGGCAATCTTCGGATTCCTCCGTATTAATTCGCGAACGATGCTCGGTACCGCGCGTGGCCGCCATTTCTATTTTAAAAATCGACGTGTCAATACGTGTCTACTTCTCGCGACCAATTAAGTACGTTTTTTATCATTAATACTACTCGCGTTTACTCTCTAGCGGTGCTTTTGTTTAATTGTCGTGTGTGTTAATACATTTCAACTATAAATTCAATCGAAATTGTGCGGAAAAGTGAATCGTGTTTCGATCGTTTTCTTCGACTGTCGTCGGTTTATTATATCTCTTTAAAGGAGATTACGCATCTCGTATTTATTATTTCAAGTTCAGTTATTGCTTAATTGTGATTAGATGTGTTTACTGTGATATATTTGACTTTAATTTATATTTTATTTCGGATTGAAATTCGAAGTCGGTGGACTCCATTTTGAATTAGAAGCTTCGGCAATCTTCGGATTCCTCCGTATTAATTCGCGAACGATGCTCGGTACCGCGCGTGGCCGCCATTTCTATTTTAAAAATCGACGTGTCAATACGTGTCTACTTCTCGCGACCAATTAAGCACGTTTTTTATCATTAATACTACTCGCGTTTACTCTCTAGCGGTGCTTTTGTTTAATTGTCGTGTGTGTTAATACATTTCAACTATAAATTCAATCGGAATCGTGCGGAAAAGTGAATCGTGTTTCGATCGTTTTCTTCGTCTGTCGTCGATTTATTATATCTCTTTAAAGGAGATTACGCGTCTCGTATTTATTATTTCAAGTTCAGTTATTGCTTAATTGTGATTAGATATGTTTACTGTGATATATTTGACTTTAATTTATATTTTATTTCGGATTGAAATTCGAAGTCGGTGGACTCCATTTTGAATTAGAAGCTTCGGCAATCGTCGGATTCCTCCGTATTAATTCGCGAACGATGCTCGGTACCGCGCGTGGCCGCCATTTCTATTTTAAAAATCGACGTGTCAATACGTGTCTACTTCTCGCGACCAATTAAGTACGTTTTTTATCATTAATACTACTCGCGTTTACTCTCTAGCGGTGCTTTTGTTTAATTGTCGTGTGTGTTAATACATTTCAACTATAAATTCAATCGGAATTGTGCGAAAAAGTGAATCGTGTTTCGATCGTTTTCTTCGACTGTCGTCGATTTATTATATCTCTTTAAAGGAGATTACGCGTCTCGTATTTATTATTTCAAGTTCAGTTATTGCTTAATTGTGATTAGATGTGTTTACTGTGATATATTTGACTTTAATTTATATTTTATTTCGGATTGAAATTCGAAGTCGGTGGACTCCATTTTGAATTAGAAGCTTCGGCAATCGTCGGATTCCTCCGTATTAATTCGCGAACGATGCTCGGTACCGCGCGCGGCCGCCATTTCTATTTTAAAAATCGATGTGTCAATACGTGTCTACTTCTCGCGACCAATTAAGTACGTTTTTTATCATTAATACTACTCGCGTTTAGTCTCTAGCGGTGCTTTTGTTTAATTGTTGTGTGTGTTAATACATTTCAACTATAAATTTAATCGGAATTGTGCGGAAAAGTGAATCGTATCTCGATTGTTTTCTTCGATATTTAACTTGCGTCGATTTATTATATCTTTTTAAAGTTAATTACGCGTCTTGTACTTATTATTTCGAGTTCGATTATTGCTTAATTATGATTAGATATGTTCACTGTGATACATTTGACTTTATTTCAGACGCAGTCTTTGGAATTCAAATACGAGGCAAGCAACCGGTACGGAATCGACGTCATTACCCTTGGAAA